GATAAGGGAATTCGTTAAGAAAACGTAAAGGACACGTACATTCAAAAGTTAAAACCTTGAAGAAATGCGTCGTATATTTGCGGCATAGACAAAAAGAATGAGTCAGACTACTAGAAATTCCTACGGGGAGCTTTGTAATTTGAAATGTTACCTTAACAGAGATCCCTTTAGCTGCGGAATGCTGCTCGTTACCAGATGAAACATACGATATTTCTGCTGTCATTGTAGGCGTTCGACAAACAGGGCACTTGACTTGTCCAGAACGTGAATTAACGTGACGTACAAGGACCCAGACACATTGACAGCAGTAACAATGGCCACATGAAAACACGCTCCACTGATGAAAACATAGAAACATAAGAAATCTAACCTATCACAACCCTCATCACAGAACAAAAAACACGACACACTGACAACAGTAACAATGACTACATGCTCACTAATGATAACAGAAAATATTAGTAATTTAACCCACCACACCCCTCATCACTGAACAAGAACACAAACAAACTATATAACAACAGTAACAATGACAGCACGCTCCACTAATGATAACATAGAAAATATTAGTAATCTAACCCACCACACCCCTCATCACTGAACAAGAACACAAACAAACTAACAAGTGTTTACTGACAGCACACTATCCCAGTGGCAACACAGAAGTCATTAGTAGGCACCTCTACTTCTTCCACACCTACCATCCCAGCATAAGGGACACATAGATCTATCAACATTACGCTACACAGCTCACCTCTTTTCCCAATTCCTTTGTGCAGACTGGACAAGTTTCAGGGTTTTCTCCTTTGTTAGACTTCTACAAGAAAGCAATGGCTTGTGTTGACTGTAATAGCCGACTTTAGATATTTTGGTTCAGTGACCATGCACAGAAGAATTGCAGACGAGGCTCCGGGGAAATAAAAGAATAAATCAAGATTATCCATTTTTTTCCCGGAGCCTGGTGTGCGTTCTTTTGTACATAGTCATCGAACCAAAATATTTAAAGTTGATTATTAAGTAATGTATAAAGAACGAAAGAGCGTGTTTTATCGGCTGATAATGATTCGAGCCGAAGGCGAGAATCTTTAGCGCCGATAAAACACGCTCTTGAGTTCTTTATACAACTTATCAAACTCCTAGTATAATTCATATGTAAAATATCTTATAAAAAAGATATTTCTGAGAGGTTTTCTCGTTTTAAGTAAAGTAACTGTACACTTTTGCAGAAAACTGGGTTTAATTATAAGTATCTTGTTATCGAATAATAGTGAAACAATGTTTCTTTGATGAGCTGCATTCATAAGATACAACGTGTAGATATTTAATTGCCTGTGGGAATTGTTTAAAGCTGAAAACCATTTCAAAATATAACTATCCAGGGAATTCAAACTTATTACTATTCACGATGATGCGAAAAGTTAGTTCAGTTTATCGACTGAGAGCAATAAGCTGTTCCCGAGAATAACGCTGGTATAAACGAAGGAAAATGAGGCGTTTCAGGAAACCTAAGTCTAAAGAAGAAGAGGCCAATTGTGTAGGCTCAAGTGTCCCAAAGAACACAAAATATGTAACAAAATGGGCAGTAACTCTGTTTTGCGACTGGCAAAAGGCCCGGAATANTAGACAAAAAGAATGAGGCAGAATACTAGAAATTCCTACGGGTGGGCTTTGTAATTTGAAATGTTACCTTAACAGAGATCCCTTTAGCTGCGGAATGCTGCTCGTTTCCAGATGAAACATACGATATTTCTGCTGTCATTGTAGGCGTTCGACAAACAGGGCACTTGACTTGTCCAGAACGTGAATTAACGTGACGTACAAGGACCCATACACATTGACAGCAGTAACAATGGCCACATGAAAACACGCTCCACTGATGAAAACATAGAAGACATAAGAAATCTAACCTATCACAACCCTCATCACAGAACAAAAAACACAAACACACTGACAACAGTAACAATGACTACATGCTCACTAATGATAACATAGAAAATATTAGTAATCTAACCCACTGCACCCCTCATAACTGAACAAGAACACAAACACACTAACAACAGTAACAATGACAACACGCTCCACTAATGATAACATAGAAAATATTAGTAATCTAACCCACTACACCCCTCATCACTGAGCAAGAACACAAACACACTAACAACAGTAACAATGACAACATGCTCACTAATGATAACATAGAAAATAATAGTAATCTAACCCACTACACCCCTCATCACTGAACAAGGACACAAACACACTGACAACAGTAACAATGACTACATGCTCACTA